ATGGGTCATCCCTGTTATAGATCCATGACCATGGGCGGCACGGTGGCTGAGTGGATTGCACTCTCGCCTCTCAGCAAGAAGGTCCTGGGTTCGAATCCCGGCCGGACCAGGGCCTTTCTGAGTGGGCCTTTCTGAGTGGAGTTTGCATGTTCTCCCCGTGTCTGCGTAGGTACTCCGGTTTCCCCTACCACTAAAAATATGTACAATAGGTCTAGCATGCGCCTCCTGTTCGGCGACCCCGCTCCCATCTCTGTGTGGAGTGAGAGACAAGTGCCCAAAAAATAACAATTGTAAACCGCTTTGTGACTCTGGTCTGTGAAAGGCGGTATATAAATAAAGCTTACTTACTTACTTACTTACTTATGGGTCATCCTCTACCTGCAGATTATGTGAAGATATTTCCTACAGACAGTGACCACATCCATGAAGTAGCAGCAATAATGTTGTGGTAGTAATCGCGTTAAAATGCAAACGGTCTCTCCGTTTATGATTAGAATCCGCTTCAGAAGCCTCTATTTAGTTTATCCTAAACGGACTGTGGAAGATTAATAATAAAACACATGCGGCTGTTCAAAGTCATTGAGCATCAACTGGTGACATCTGGTCAGTATCACGGCTATCGATGGATGCACCAGAAATGCACTGAATGATATTGTTACTGACAGAGACCGTTCACGATTACAGGACAGTGAGGGAGGTCCACAGACAGAGGCAGGAGAACCACAGACAGAGGCAGGAGAACCACAGACAGAGGCAGGAGAACCACAGACTGAGGCAGGAGAACCACAGACAGAGGCAGGAGAACCACAGACTGAGGCAGGAGAACCACAGACAGAGGCAGGAGAACCACAGACAGAGGCAGGTGAACCACAGACAGAGGCAGGAGAACCACAGACAGAGGCAGGAGAACCACAGACAGAGGCAGGAGAACCACAGACAGAGGCAGGAGAACCACAGTCAGAGGCAGGGGAACCACAGACAGAGGCAGGAGAACCACAGACAGAGGCAGGAGAACCACAGACAGAGGCAGGAGAACCACAGACAGAGGCAGGAGAACCACAGACAGAGGCAGGAGAACCACAGACAGAGGCAGGTGAACCACAGACAGAGACAGGAGAACCACAGACAGAGGCAGGAGAACCACAGACAGAGGCAGGTGAACCACAGACAGAGGCAGGAGAACCACAGACAGAGGCAGGTGAACCACAGTCACGGGCACTGACAATATTACCCTTTTGGAATTGCGATCAGTGCATTGAGTATGTGACGTGTTTGCGTGCACGTGGGGGTGAGCTGATGGAGCGTGTGGTAAAGTTGTTGGCGTATGAGCAAGAACACAGAGACATACAGGGAATAAGTGCCTTGTCTGATTATTTTATTGTGACAAAATAAAGCCCACAACTCTTTAAGCAACAATCCGGAAAAATAACTCTGCAGATAACAGTGAGGGTCTTTGAAAAGGGACTTAAACCCATTACAGATGCATGAATAAAACCCCGTACTCAACACGTAGAAAGCGCATCGTTTCAGCCGTGGACAGACTCGCTCCGTGTGGACCCCTCTCAGCGCCATCGTCTGGTCAGAGTGGGGTACTGCAGATTGGATTGGAATGTCTCGATGGCTCATTTTCCTTTGATTTATTATAAAAACATATTGCTCACATTATTTGTTACTATGTCGAAATAAGAAGTCGTTTGATTTAAATGTTGTATATATGTAAATTGAATTTAACATAAATAAATAAAAAGACAGCTCCCCCCTGCGTCCTACGACCGCGGTCTGGGGCTTAAACAGGAAAGTTTTACAGAATCAATCAAACAACATTATTTCTGGCTACTTCATGGATGCAGTGGTCACTGTCGGCAATATCTTCATAATCTGCAGGTGAAGGATGTCCAGAGACCGTTCCAGACAACAACACATACGAGTTTTCAACTGCACATGCACAGTTGAAAACTCATAATTTTTACTTTTAAAGTCAAAATTTTGACTTTTAAAGTCGTAATTTTGACTTTTAAACTCAACATTTTGACTTTCTGTATGCTTTTTTTTTTTTTTTTTTACATGGCGGAAACGGGCTTCCATATCAGACCGTCCTTTTTGCAAGTGAACTTTTTTATACAAACATATTGAAACGTGTGACGATCGGCTCCTATTGGACGCGGAACCGGCAGAAAACATTGAGGGCTCGTATGTGCAGCATGTCTGCTCTGCCTCTGTTTGCTCTTTTTAGACCAAAACCACCTTCAACATCAACAACAGCTCATATGACACAGGCCAAACACCTTGTTTTAAATATTGGAACAGCGTCGGAGAAGGCGTGAGGAGAAAGCCGAAGGAGACTGTGCGCTCCGTGCCCTGTCCCACACATGGATGGATCTATGATAATAACTCTGTCCCACACATGGATCTATGATAATAACCCTGTTCCACAACTTACTGACAGCAGCATTGTGGATAAACCATGGATCTATAATAACCACGGGACAAACAGACGCTGAGGATCAGGTAGGAACCAAAGAACACAATTCACTACATGATGCAGAATATTGCTCTTTGAGACGTGAGTCAAACAGTGTCAGGCTTTTAATAATGCAAATGGTTTGAAGATGTTGACATTAACATTAATGTATACTGTGAACAGTTTTAACTCCATAAGCCTGTTGCACAGCGTCTCCTCACTGCTCCAGGTCTGCACACGGCTCAGTGTTGTTGTGTAGCGTTAGCCGGTTCCGCGTCTATGTTAATGGCAGCATCTTCAAACCATTTGCATTATTAAAAGCCTGACACTGTTTGACTCACGTCTCAAACATTATTAAAAGCCTGACACTGTTTGACTCACGTCTCAAAGAGCAATATTCTGCATCATGTAGTGAACTGTGTTCTTTGGTTCCTACCTGATCCTCTGCGTCTGTTTGTCCCGTGGTTATTATAGATCCATGGTTTATAGTAATATTATATATGACAATAATTAATTAATAAATAATAAATAAATAAATAAATAATTATATATGACAATATAATATATGACAATAACATAGTAATATTTATAATGATGTCATAGTAATATTTATAATGATGTCATAGTAATATTTATATTCAGACTGTTCAGTGCAGGAGATCTGAAGTCCCTCTGGTTTAGTAGAAGTGTTGGTTCCACCTCTGGGTCCACCCCTGGTTCCACCTCTGGTTCCTCTGGTTCCACCCCTGGTTCTAAGGCTGCAGCTAACGATTATTTTTCTATCGATTAATCTATAGATTATTTTTTCGATTCATCGATTAATCTATAGATTATTTTTTTCAATTCATCGATTAATCTATAGATTATTTTTCCTTTTACCGATTTATTTTTTCATTTAAAATGAAGGGGAAAAAATTGACGTAGGCCAGTATTTTCAAATGGCATGGCTTTTATTTAACCAAATAAAATTATGGCTCAATGGGCAACTCAGTAGCCTATAAAATGTGCAAATCAAAATATTCTGGAACACTCACTGTAAACATTTGAATAAAAGTATAGCTTATTTGCTTTAAAATGTGCAAAATAAAAAATATATAACCAGCACAAAACAAAATGCAGATCAAAATATTCTGGAACACTCACTGTAAACATTTGAATAAAAGTAAAAGTATTGCTTTTAAAATAAACATCCAGTCCAACACACAATAACTAATTCCACTCATTCCAGTCTAACAGTTGTAATGAAGAAAGGTTAGCATGTCTACATGCTCTGGGGTGAGGCTGGTTCTTTTCTTCTGAAAATAGTCGCTCAGAAGGGGTCGATGTGGCTGGAACAGAGAGGTAAGACCGAGCCAGCATTGCCAGATTTGGAAACCTTGCCTCATTTTCTTTCCACCGGCTCTTTCCATAGCCGTTGTGCTGCTGTGGTAGGCCATTTCCGCTCGACACAGTGTGCATAAAACAGATTCAGATTCAGATTCATTTTATTAGCCATGTGCAGTATAAAAACTACATTGGAATACATTTGCAGAGAAAGGTACTCTGTGTGCACCGACAGAATAAAGAGCACGATACAATGTAATATAAAATACACATACACTGAATATAAAAGAATAAAAAAAAACAGCTGACACTGTGGCACCGATCAACAAAACGACACAAGGGGTAAAAGCAGGAATTAAAGTGCTCTGTTTAGGCACCTAACAGCTTGTGGAAAGAAGCTGTTAGCATAGCGAGATGTCTTGCATCTCAGCGACCGATATCTTCTGCCAGAGGGAAGAAGCTGGAACATTGCTTTCCCAGGGTGGCCAGAAGAGTCATTGATGATTTTAAGAGCTCTGTTTAAAAGTCTGGATTTATAAAGAACCTCCAGGACAGGAAGCTCACAGCCCACGGTCCTCTTTGCAGAGCGGAGCACCTTGTTTAAAGCTCTCTTTTCTTTATCTGTGATGTTTCCAAACCACACAGACACAGAACCAACAAGTAAACTCTCAGTGGTGCAGCGATAAAAGTTAAGCAGAATCTTAGAGTTAGTGGTGAATTCTCTAAGTTTCCGCAAAAAGAAGAGCCGCTGACGTGCTTTCTTAACAACCCGGTTAGTATTTTTGTCCCATTTCAGGTTAGACAGAATTAAACCCAGGAACTTGCACTCCTCTACGATCTGCACCTGGGAGTTGTCAATAACAACAGGAGTGTGAGAACTGCTACGACTGAAGTCAAAGACAAGTTCACATGTTTTTGCAGTGTTCAGCTGGAGATTGTTTACTTTACTCCAATGAAAAACATGTTCAGTGGAGTAAAGTAAACAATCTCCAGCATTATTTGGCCGTTTCTGGAAATACTCCGACACTTTTGATGACTTTTGGTGTGCCTTTTTCCCCTCGCTTGCATCGCCAGCATCGCGCGCCGCCATGATGTAAACAACCGACGCGTCGGCGCACAAAAACTGCGTTGACGTATTTACGTAATGGATGACGTCGACTACGTCGACGCGTCGTTTCAGCCTTACCTGGTTCCACCTCTGGTTCCTCTGTTGCAGTGAGGCAGGTGGCCTTCTCTACAGCTCTGGTAGAGTCTGTATCTCAGTACTTTGGTCCTAGTGTTGAGACTACACTGGTCTACAAACATGTGATCACCAACACTGGGAACGCCTACAACCCACACACAGGTGTGTAGTGTTGTGTGTATGTTGTGTGTAATGTTGTGTGTATTGTTGTGTGCAATGTGTGTAATTTTGTGTGTAGTGTTGTGTGTGTAATGTTGTGTGTAATGTGTGTAAAGTTCTGTGTATTGTTGTGTGTAATGTGTGTGTATTGTTGTGTGTAATGTTGTGTGTTATGTTGTGTGTAATGTTTTGTGTATTGTGTGTACGTTGTGTATAATGTTGTGTGTGATGTGTGTATTGTTGTGTGTCTGCTGCAGGGATCTTCACAGCCCCAGTCAGAGGAGTGTACCACTTCCAAGTTCATATGTTAGAATCCATTGGAGGTTACACAGGGTTCGTTTCTCTGGTGAAGAATGGATCTAAGATGGTTGCAGCCCGTGAGGACCAGTCATCAGGGAACGGCTCCTCGTCCACCTCCATGTCTGTGCTGCTGGAGGCGGGAGACGTGGTTTATGTGGTTCTCTGGAGCAACGCTCGTATTTTCGACGACAAGAATCACTACAACACGTTCAGTGGTCACCTGCTGTTCACCGTCTGACTTCTTACCTCTGACCTGTGACCTCTGACCCGTGACCCCTGACCTCTGACCTGTGACCTCTGACCTGTGACCTCTGACTGCATTAAAAGCTTTGCTCTGTATTGTCTTTGTTTTGTCTTTTCACAAACACAACACCATGCTCCAGTTTGGAACAACACAATCCTCCTCATGTGAGAGAGCACTGTCTCTCTCCGTCTCTCTCTCTGTCTCACCGTCTCTCACCGTCACTCTCTCTCTCTCTGTCTCTCTCCCTCTCACCGTCTCTCTCCCTCTCACCGTCTCTCTCCGTCCCACTCACCTTCTCTCTTTTTCTCTCCGTCTCTCTCCCTCTCACCGTCTCTCTCTCTCTCTCCGTCTCTCTCCCTCTCACCGTCTCTCTCTCTCTCACCGTCTCTATCCCTCTCACCGTCTCTCTCTCTCCGTCTCTCTCTCTCTCACCGTCTCTCTCCGTCTCTCTCCCTCTCACCGTCTCTCTCCATCTCTGTCTCTCTCTCCGTCTCTCAGTCTCTCTCCGTCTCTCTCTGTCTCTCTCCGTCTCTCTGTCTCTCTCTCCGTCTCTCTGTCTCTCTCTCCGTCTCTCTCCATCTCTCTCTCAGTCTCTCTCTCCGTCTCTGTCTCTCTCTCTGTCTCTCTCTCCGTCTTTCCGTCTCTCTCCGTCTCTCTCTCCATCTCTCTCTCTCTCTCCGTCTCTCTCTCCGTCTCTGTCTCTCTCTCTGTCTCTCTCTCCGTCTCTCCGTCTCTCTCCGTCTCTCTCCGTCTCTCTCCGTCTCTCTCTCCATCTCTCTGTCTCTCTCCGTCTCTCTCCGTCTCTCTCTCCATCTCTCTGTCTCTCTCCGTCTCTCTCCGTCTCAAAAATAAGTTACAAAACAACACTGAACAACACAATTCCCAAAAGTCAACCACCTCGACCAGAGTTCAACAGTTTTATGGCAGAGGGCACAAAAGAATTGGAGACAATACTTTCGCAAGGCACTGTATTTATTTTTAAACAAAGGTGAATAAACTCAGGAGTGCGTGCCAAAGGCTTTTTGAGGCTTCCAAACAGTCTTCGTGGCCGACTTCCTGCTGACCTGTCGTAAAAACGGGCGGTTTCTGAATAATTATAGGCGTGACTTTCATAAATACGATAGTTTTCACCGCGACATTTATCAACAGCAGAAGGTTCTAACGTCGGATCTGGGTCTCACACGTTCATAATAAAGTGTTGTGTGTAGTAAGTGTTGATGAAATAACAATTGTAAACTTTGTGACTCTGGTCTGTGAAAGGCGGTACATAAATAAAGATTACTTACTTGTGTAAAGAGTGTTACATAAACCTGTGTGAACGGTGGATAAATAACATCTGTTCTGATGTAGAAATGTAAATGAGATTAAACCTTCTTATCTACAACAGTGTCCTCGGCCGTGAGCAGTCAGAGGGTATAAAACCAGACCTCCACAGACCTCCTCACTCCTCCACAGACCTCCTCACTCCTCCACAGACCTCCTCACTCCTCCACAGACCTCCTAAGACCTCCACAGACCTCACTCCTCCAGTGGACCATGGACACGGCTGGTTTCCTGGTGCTGCTGCACACACACACTCATACCTGTATCCATACATATACATACACACACACACACACACACTAGGGTTTAATATTTTTCCCGAAAATGAGACGTATTAAATCCCGGGAAAAGACGACGCCTTTCCCGGGAAATCCCGGGAAATAGCTGTTGTTTGTAGTTGTTGTTTTTAGCCCAAGTAATGTATGATATCACTCAAATATATAATCCAACAAAAGCTGCCATCTCCACTAGTGTTTCACCAAGCGACTTGCTTTTCTAAATTAACCATAGCGTTTTCAGACGTTTTGTTGATGGGCTTTCTTCAGGAATTTCACTAATATGAGATTCTAAATGTCTGCGCAATCCACTTGTCGACCAGTGACGTGTGGTTTGGAGGCACTGACTTCAGCCCAATCAGATGAACATATATCATATAAATCAACAGAACCTACAGAGCGGCTTATTCACAATTAGTTTGGCTACAGCAGAATGTTTTCCATGGCCCGCATTGTTTGCTCAAACAAAACGCACGGACCACTTCAGTTCAGACCAGTTTCATGTTTAAGTCCAGATAATAGTTTGAGCGTAGATATGTAATCCCCCATTTGGAAATAAGCCCAAAGAGTTTTAAAGCGTAAAACAAAACGGGTGCCACCTCCATAAACTCCTGTGTTTTCGCTGCAGCCGGCTCTCGGGCGCATCCTATTTCTAATATCAACCTTCTTACCCTTCTCCTCTCTTCCTTATCATTCCTATCGTCATTGGAAGCAGAACATTACCCTAAATGCATTTTATATGATCTTAAAATGGGTTGTATGTATGTTAGCCAAACCTGTTGCTGCCCTTAGCAGATAGAAAAAAAGAAAGGAGCTTTCTGAAAGAATTGGACGTAACCAAATTCTGGGCTCACATGCGCCCCGTACCCTGAGGCTGGCCTCATTACAAATCGTGATTTAGCGCGATTAAGACCCATATGTGTTGTCAAAAACACAATTTATGAGCCATCCTCTCAGCTGTGGACATGTTGATTGTAAATGAAATATGTTTGAACTTTGAACAACAATAAACGTGCTCTATAATAGGAGCGCACTGGATTTTTTTTTTTAACTTTCATTTCCCGTTTTCCGTCATAACATTTCCCGGGAATCGGGAAATAGTTTTGATCAGATTTCCCGGGAATCCCGTGTCCCGGGATTAAACCCTAGTACACACACCAGGTCTAAGAGCCATACCCCCACAGGGCCCAGAGGAGAGAAGGGGCCCCAGACCTCCACCAGGTCCAAGAGCCAGACCCCCACAGGGCCCAGAGGAGAGAAGGGGCCCCAGACCTCCATCAGGTCCAAGAGCCAGACCCCCACAGGGCCCAGAGGAGAGAAGGGGCCCCAGACCTCCATCAGGTCCAAGAGCCAGACCCCCACAGGGCCCAGAGAGGAGAAGGGGCCCCAGACCTCCACCAGGTCCAAGAGCCAGACCCCCACAGGGCCCAGAGGAGAGAAGGGGCCCCAGACCTCCACCAGGTCCAAGAGCCAGACCCCCACAGGGCCCAGAGGAGAGAAGGGGCCCCAGACCTCCACCAGGTCCAAGAGCCAGACCCCCACAGGGCCCAGAGGAGAGAGCTAACCACTGCTTCCAGTGCAGAAGGCCACTCCAGAAGAAACACTGGGGATACTAAAACTGTATTAAAAAACAAAAATATCAAAATGTGAGACTAAAAAGACTATAGCAGAATACATAATAATAACAATGATTATGAAACAAATATGTGTCTAATGGATAAATTGGTGCTGCTGAGTTTTGTTTTAGGAAGAGCAGAGAGCAGATGTTCTTTTAGGAAGAGCAGAGAGCAGGGCATTACAGCAGTCACTGCTGATAAAAGCATCAGCGTCTCTGTTGCACTGAGAGTGAGTTGGGCCTACTCTGGAGATGTTCTTAGAAAATAATGATAATAAAAAAAAACTATTTTACTCCTAACATGAAGAATAAAAGTCAGCTCAGAGTGAAAAATAACAATTACGCCCATGTCTCCTGATGACACCTCCAAGAGGAGCATGTACAGGTTAAAAAGGACTGGACCTAAAATGGAACCCTGGGGCACACCACATGTGATTTTATGGACCTGAGAGGAGCAGGTATCCAAACTTACCATGAAGGATCTGTCTGTTAAATAAGAAGTGAACCATTTGTGGACAGCACCAGAGAGGCCGAGGTGTTTCAGGCAGGATAAAAGAACGGTGTGGTCGACTGTGTCAAAGATCCAGAAGAACCAACACGTCACCTTTTTAGAATAAATATTTAGTCTAAAACCATTAATAATCTTTTATAGAGCAGTCTCTTTGCTCTGGTTCACCCTTTCACCAAACGGATTATTTTACAAAATGTGTTCCTCGTCTAAAAATGGGATGAAAAATGTCAGACAGACTTAAACAGAAATGCCTGCGGCTCTTTATTTCAGTTTCAATATTTTAAAGAATAAATGAAGACAGAGCATTATGACAATTTGCGTCACAACAAAGACGCCGACCCACAGGTGTCGGTCTGAAGTCTCCGGGACCTTAAAGACCGGATCACTTCAACATTACGTCGTGTGTTTTTCCCAAGTCCGTTTTGAGGTGTCCAGACTCCACAAAATTAATTAGAAGTTTAATGGTGAGTTGGATAATGGTCTGTAAATGTTAAGATCGTTGAAATCTTTCCTGCAGCTGTCTCACTAAAGACCCCCGTCTGAAGAGAGGATTCCTCTGGTCTAAAAGCTCCTCTCTAAAACATTGTTACACTTCAATACTAAGTGGGGTCCAGATCCAAAAGACATGTGGTGGACTTCACTGTGGAGAAAACGTTATCAAACATCGCATCCACCAGGCCACAACCGTCCAGTGTTTCCTCTGGAGAAGACGAACAATCAGATGTGTTAAAGTGTTGATAGATAAAATGTTTCCTCTGATTGTTTGTTATTTCTCTCATGAAGCGGGAACAGAAACAGTCTGTGGGGGTTAAATCAGGGTTAAAATGGTGTCAATGGTTGAGATGTATTTCTGTTTTGGGTGATTCCTTTTGTCGTAGTAGTTAACATATATATAATAACATTGAGTAAAGTATTGAAATACAGATACTCATGGACGAATAATTAAGTGTTCTATGTTTATTGATTCTCTGATCCGTGTTGGAGATTTCAACAGTTTTGTAAAGTCCTGTGAGAAAACTAATGTTGTGATTTAGTGCGATACAAGAACAAGTTGAATTGAAATGGAACTACATGCCTGAGTCTTATCATACATTCACAAAGTACCTACACAGAGGCCTGGGGAGTTGAAGAGTCCTGGTTGTACTGACACAGCGCCACCAGCAGAGGTCAGTGTCTGCACAGTCCAGAGTCTGCTCCTGGACCTGGCTGTAGAAAACGGACAGTGAACACAGCGGAGCAGACGTGGTGGCTGTATGTGATCTGGCTTTCAGCAATTCGATTCAATTTTATTTATTTTTATATAAAAGACATCTGCAATGGTCTTGGCGAACATTAAAGAAGCCCACAGAAGATTAGAGAATCAAATAATTAGGAAAATAAATAATAACCGAAGGACAATAAATATGTCTGTGGACCCTGCAGACCCAGGACTGAGACTGTAGACCCAGGACTGAGGCTGTAGACCCAGGACTGAGGCTGTAGACCCAGGACTGAGGCTGTAGACCCAGGACTGAGGCTGTAGACCCAGGACTGAGGCTGTAGACCCAGGACTGAGGCTGTAGACCCAGGACTGAGGCTGTAGACCCAGGACTGAGGCTGTAGACCCAGGACTGAGGCTGTAGACCCAGAGCTGAGGCTGTAGACCCAGGACTGAGGCTGTAGACCCAGGACTGAGGCTGTAGACCCTTAACCAGCAGAACACGCCACAGGACAGAGGTGCGTGACTCCAGAGTGGAAAAAGGCCACATCAATAACATGGATCAGAGCCCAGGGACTGACTGCTCTACATATGGTTTTGGATCATAAATGTTTCCATTGCTATTAATCCAAAATCACACTGTTTTATGCCCAAACATTTCTGATGTAAAACACAGCAACAAATATCATTTCATGGGAAGAATGTGGTGTTTCAGTCCAAACCAGTTGGATAGAGGTTTTCTCAGGGTGCTCCAAGGAAACACTAAACATACACCAAACTGTAAAGCCTTTGTCTGACTTTGGAGCCCAGGACCTCGCTCAGGGCCTCGCTCAGGGCCTCGCTCAGGGCCTCGCTCAGGGCCTCGCTCAGGGCCTCTGTCCCCGGTCCTGTTCACTGTTTATATGGACACTTAGCCAGGGCCAGAGAGAGGGCTGAAGACCAGAGAGTTTCCGGGTTGGGGACTACCAGTCCTGGGTCTACAGCCTCAGTCCTGGGTCTATAGCCTCAGTCCTGGGTCTACAGCCTCAGTCCTGGGTCTACAGCCTCAGTCCTGGGTCTACAGCCTTAGTCCTGGGTCTACAGCCTCAGTGCTGGGTCTACAGCCTCAGTCCTGGGTCTACAGCCTCAGTCCAGGGTCTACAGCCTCAGTCCAGGGTCTACAGCCTCAGTCCAGGGTCTACAGCCTCAGTCCTGGATCTACAGCCTCAGTCCTGGGTCTACAGCCTCAGTCCTGGGTCTACAGCCTCAGTCCTGGGTCTACAGCCTCAGTCCTGGATCTACAGCCTCAGTCCTGGATCTACAGCCTCAGTCCTGGGTCTACAGCCTCAGTCCTGGGTCTACAGCCTGTCCTGGGCCTTATCGAGGTTCCTCATTTCCTCCCACAGGATAGTTAGAGTTTTTCTGACACAGGAAGGTCCAGGGAAAGTGGGATCAACAACATTATGGACATTGGTCTCTTCTCCTGATGGACCGATGTCTCTGTGTGTTTTTTACCAGTGCATTTCTTGAGACGACAGCTTGTTAAGTCCTCCGCGGTAACTACTGTTGTGATTTAGGGCAATACACAAACACTTTGAATAGAACAAAATCTCTGAGGTCCACAGACTGGAGCTGACTGATGCTTCAGGTCTGGGAGGTGGTCCCTCAGAGCATCAGGATTCATCAGGAGCAGGTTCAGGTCTCACTGTGAGTGTTTCTCTGGCTCTGAGGCCCAGCTGAGGCCCAGCTGTCTCCTCTGAGGCCTCCACATCAGCGTGATCCGCCTGGGAACAGGTTTACACTCTGATTCCGAGGACTTCCGACCTCTGCTAAAGCTGCACTAACTCACTTTGTAAAATTTTCGAAAGTAAGCGCTGGCCTCGCTCTTTCTGCTCCCCCTCCCGCACTCACGAAGCTATCACCCCACTACCCTCCCCTGGCGTGATTATGTGTTTACGGAGCTAGCGTCTCAAACGTCGCACATTTTAACGTGACATGACCATAGAATGATAGAACCGGGAAGCGCGGAGTAACAAGACTTTCTTTTGGCTGTTTCTCTGAGTACGCAGAAACCGGTGACGAAGACACGGGAAGCTTCAGGTTAGCCTCCGCCACTTGTTTGTGTCTGTGCTAACGAGAGACCTATAGCTTTCTCAAGAAAGTGGGGGCCAGTGGTGCGCTGTGATTGGTCACAATCTGGGCCCGAAACAAATTCTCTTCCTTGTTTTACGAAAACTCGATCTAACATAAAATGTCACGCCAGCACAAACCTGCGATATTTATTCTTCAAAAGGACGTACTGTGTGTCCCAAAGCACTGCATGGACATTGATTGGATTTAACTAATTAAACTATACAAAAATAAAGTGAGGTACTGCAGCTTTAAGCATTCTTCTTTTATTCTGATCATACTTTCCTGTATTTAAGAATGTTCACACTTGATCTAGGACTGAAGAACCAGCTGTTATTGTACATGATATTATCCTGCGCAGACTATACTTTTAACCTTTAACATGTTGCACACTTCTGTCTTTTTGAGAAACTGAGAAAACTACTGTTGTTTATTTCCTCCATACTCCAGCAGTGACCTGATTCTCAGTACAGCCTCCTCGCGTGAGCTCTCTCCTCCCTCCCCCCTCCTCCCCTCCCCTCCTACCCTCTCCTCCTCCCCTCTCCTCCCTCCCCCCTCCTCCCCTCCCCTCCTCCCCTCTCCTCCCCACCTCTCCTCCTCCCCTCCCCTCCTCCCCTCTCCTCCCCCCCTCTCCT